AAAAAAAAAAAAAAAAGGAAAAAAGAGGGATAAAGGGAAAAAGAGAGAAGGAGAGAGAGAGAGTACATTTGAAAACGAGTAATTAGCTTGGATTGGAGGCGTTAATGGTGGCCAATTACGTCGGCGCGTCATTAAAATGAACGATCAAGAATGGCTCTTAATCTCGCTCGAAAATGTCGGTATAGCTCGTAAAACGATATTGGAAAGGATTTCAACAATAATCCTCCCTGTTGTTCCCTCTTTTCCTCCTCCTACCTTTTGCACTTGACGTCACGATTATATTAGGGGAATTGTTTGAAAGAGAGCTAATATCGTCTGCTTGTAAACGTCACCGGGGAAGAAAAAGTCTAAGAGAAAGATACGAGATGACGATGCAACAACAATAACCGGAACAAGAATAAGAAGAAAGAAAAAAAAATAGAAATAAGAATAAGCCTAAAGCGATCGCATTTTCCGCATGGAAGAAGAGCGAACGATTATACAACTTTGAAAAGGTATCTGTTCCATTGTGAAGGTAGGAAGCTTGGTTATAAGGCATAGGTACATTTGCTATAGTTGCACGTATTATGCGGTCATGAGTCGACATTACAAATGAGTGGCTAACTTCGTCGTTACGGTTAACTAATGAGCTTGGCGAGGTAACGCGGCGTTAATCTATGGCGCAATAAACGTAACGCTTCTACGGAAAAATGCGATCAAAATGCATTAATAACGTTGGAATTAATGTCTGTTCCGACGGTATATACTTACATACTTGGCACCATGCGCGTTTCGATCTAACGTTGTATACGCTTTTACATTCGCGAAAGAGAGAGAGAGAGAGAGAGAGAGACTGTGTGGGTGTCCGCTCGCGTCACTCGTAAATGGACTAATTACTCAGAATTACGTAATCAACGACGCCACGATTTGCTTCCCCGTCATTAGTCGTTTCTACGTTCAAAGAGAATTACATAATAATATTCCCTCGATGATCTTCGATTTTAATCTTCATTTTGAATGATTTCTCATTTACAAATACATCCCAATTTTAATGGGTAGACGAAAAAGAAAAGGATATTGATCAAACTGAAGATAAAAACTCGATGACACGTCTTGTGGTCGACCTCTTTCTTCTATTCCTTCCTTTCTCTCTTTCTCTTTTTTGTTCTCATACTGTTCGTTTTTCGATCAGCCATTATCCGCGTTTAGTCGAAAGCGCTTAATGGGGATCGCCCGAGCCATTCTCGATCGTAAAGTTCGATTATCCACGGTCCGTCTTGGTTGTGGTCTTCACTGGGAAGGACTCAAGTCGATCTTCAATTGCGTCATCGAGTTGTGATCGTTTTCACGTCCGGAGTGATGGTCAACGAGAAAAGAGAACGCGTTCTCTCTCTCTCTCTCTCTTTCCCCTCCCTCTCTTCTCCTTTAGCTTTTTCTCTTTCTCTCATCTCGAATCGAGAAATCCAAGCTGGTGACTTGCATACAATAGAGGAGAACGATGGGCGGTTTTCTGCACGAGATCCAGAGTCGTTGCAACGTGCGACAGCTGTCGAGACGTCTCGCAAAGAAGAGGGTCGTATCTCCGATAAGAGAACCAACTCTTGCCCACGGAGATGCTTACAAGGACGCTCTCGCGTTACTACCAATCCGTTAAAAAACGAACCTGAACAGGGCTCGCAAGAATAGCGAGAAGGGAACGACCTCCAGTTGCAATAATTGGGTGCGAAAACGACACCAACGAAGTTACTTTTCCTTCCCTTCAGATTTTATCTCTCTTCCTCTTTTATTCTATTATTCTATCATTAGATCTATTTTTAGATCTATTATTAGTTTAATTGATATGAATTAAATATATTAATTAATAATTTCATTAGATACTATTCAATTTGATAAGATAACACCACCTATCATTATTATATAGATAAATGTGTTATAATAATTTGGTTTCTTATCTGTTACAGGGGAAAAACCGTATCAATGCACGTGGGAAGGGTGTACGTGGAAATTTGCACGTTCGGACGAGCTTACGAGACACTATCGCAAGCACACTGGCCAAAAACCGTTCAAGTGCCATCTCTGTCAGCGATCTTTTTCTCGGAGCGATCATCTCTCTCTACATATGAAGAGGCACTGATTAGCTAACGTCCGAACGACGATGATTATTAGATACTACAGAGGAAGAACAGAAAATGAAAGAGAACAAGAGAGAAAAGGAAATAGAGAGAGAGAGAGAGAGAGAAATGGTGAATAACGGTGGAAACTTATCGATGCAACCACCGAAAAATCAATATTTAAAGACTACGACGACGGAAACGACGATTTTACATCGGGACCTGAAGAGCTTAGGCACTAAATATAATATTATCGTTCGATTATGAACGACAATGCCTGGCTGAATGAAATTAGAGAAGAAAGTTGAAGAATTTTTAGATTGTTCGTTAGATTTAGAGCTTTTTCCTTCTTCGTTTCTTTTTTCTTGACTCTTATTTTCTTTTTAACACAACGATTATCACGAGATGATCATATTATTAGTTCGCGTATCACATCTTTCCACTTTTCCTTTAAAACTGACGACAGATATATAATTTTGTTATTTCAATTTCGGTTTCTTTTTTTTCTCTCGCCAATCGAATTCCTATGTAGTATCGCATCCACTGCTTTTCATTTTTCTCGATATATCATTCGTATTTATTTTTTTTTTTTCTTTTTTTTTTTGTTGAAATTCGTTACGTACGGTTTAACAACAAACTCGTCCGTAAATTTCGACGAGTTAAATGACGAGTCAATGTTTTACACGATTAAATTATTAAACATAAGTTAGAAAAAAATAAAAAATGATTACAAAAAAAAAAAAAAAAAAAAAAAAAAAAAAAAAAAAAAAAAAAAAAGAAAAGAGCGAAAACAATATAAAGTCGATCGAAACGTTTTAGAGAAATTCGCAAAAATATCATCGATCGACTTTTAACTATAATACATAACGTACATACATACATACATACTTCGATCATTATGCACAAAGAATTTCGCGTTTAGAAACGGACAATCATTTACGTTTCGTTGAACGAAAGATTAGAAGACATTCTAAAAGGTCAGTATTACAAGTGCATTAAGCAATATCGTCGTGGCATTAAATCAATGCTAATATGTATACACATTAGTCGTGCGCTCTTCGATCGTTCGAAAAATTGTTAAAAAAAAGAAGAAACAAATAAGAAGAGCCAAACGACGACGTAGGCGTTAGTTCGTCGAAGAAATAATTTTTAATAGCCTCACGTCAAGGTGCCAAATATAGGAAAATGAAAAAAAAAAAAAAGAAAAAGATAAAAGATAAAGAAAGAAAGAAAGAAAGAAATGACGTAAAGTAAATTTATATACATACCTGTTTAAAATTATTAAAATTAAGTAATCGATTGTGTAAATAAAAAATAAGAGACGCTCATATCAGAATTTTTTTGTGGACGATCACGACATAATATATTTTGAAATTCGAGCTTCTTTAATAATCGTGATAGATAATTTTGGATTATAACGGCAACCTTGACGTTAAAGCCTAATTAAAACAAGCTTCGTTTAGCTCGAGAGAGAGATACAATCGTATAAAGAGATATAAATTCGACTTTGCGCTTCGAATGTAAAAAAGGATCGCAAATATCACGGGACCTCGCAAATCAGCACGCATTTACTCTCGTAACTATTTTTGTGCTTAGTTAAATGTAAACGCAATTTTCGAAAATAAGAAAGAGATGGATGATAGGTAGAAGAGAGGATTGCTCGTATGAGAATCGACTTGATTACGAAGCGGATTGATTTCCTTGTTTTTTTTTTTTTTTTTTTTTTTTTTTTATTTCGCTAATACGCTAATCTATACGTTCAATGCAAGTTGAATGACGGCGACGGCGACGGCGACGATGATGATGACGATGACGATGATAATGACGATTAGGACGATCGGTGGGTGGTGAATTAACTAACATTGTTACATGTTGTATTCCGATAGGTAATAGTGCCTTCTAAGATTAAGGATGAGAACGCTGCGTTAGGCCTTAAGTATTACTGCTAGTGCCTTAAGTCACGCGAATCTTCGTGCTTGTACACCTTTCATAATCCGACCCTTCGAATCCTCGCCCGAAGGTACGGGCTAAATTTTCACAACTCGTATGCGTTTAACGTTTAACTTCTCGATGCGAAAATCGCAAATCGTGTTCGAACTTTCACTCCTCGTGACTCGCCGCATCCACCGTTCTGTGGTGTCTAGTTCGTCGATCGCGGTCTGTCGTCGATATTTAAAAACTTATTTACTAACCGTTCGAATCTTAACTGCTTTTCCAAAAACAAAAACAAAAAAAGAAACAAAAGATATATCTAATCTTCATTATTTTCAAATTAGCAATATCCCATATGGTACATTAAAGAAACGTAATTATTTAATAATATCACGTGTGAGTCACGATTAATTTTCCTTCTTATATAAAATACATATTATTATTACTACCAGACATTACTATTATTATTATTATTATTATTATTATTATTATTATTATTATTTCAGTCGTAAATCTTTTCCCACGCGCGATATAGATAATTGAATTTCCGGAATGGAGGAGGATAAAAATGTATGAAGGCCCTGGGGATATCGGTCTCGTTAAAGAAAGCTAATCGTAAAGACACGAGGACGGGCGTGTCTTGTTGGCCGGTGCAAAAGCGCGAAACTCAGACTAGCCGCTACGCTCCGGGTAGCTTGTAAATAATTTTCGCATAGTCGTCCGCGCGAAATTCAATCTGAAAATGGACGAGGTGCCACCCAAGAGGCCGTTTTACGATCTTGATGACTGATACCGTTGTACCTTCCTTGTAGGGAATTTCTTCGGGGCTTGAACAGCCGACAGTAATCTGAGCGCAGTGCGGGCGATGAGAAATGTATACTGACGTCACGCCGACACCATCCTTGATCATTATCATTTTTTTTTCTCCTACTACTCGCGCAAACGCACGCCAGGTCGTGCACTTACTTATGTATATAAAGTAGAGACCTCCTCCCCTCCCCCCTACCCTACCCCTCCTTTCAACCCTTTCCCTCTTTCAACCCTCTTCCCTCTCCTTTTCTAAGCTTCTTCTTATTCTGCTTTTGCTTAATCTTCTTCGTTCTTACACGTTACGATTTCAAATACGAGAGATCGTCCTTAAATCTGAGAAAAAACTATTCTATTTCAACTAATTATGACGATCGCGTGCGTTTTCATTTAAATATTCAAAAAAAAAATCATTCGACTTGTGTTTCAACGACGGTAATGCGAAACCTATTCGATCTTATTTATTATAATAATATTCGACGTGTCGAATCAATAAATGGCGAACAAAAACTTGACAAGAAATGAAGGATTCAAATTTACCGTCCGATTTGATTTTTTTTCTAAAATGGCCGATCCAAGGAAAATTCTAGCATCTCAAGTGCCTTAAAAGATGTTATTAGACCGGTCGAGATCCTTTTGAAATTCTATTCGCTAAGAAATCATTTTTTTCGTTGCCGATTATTAAGAGATTATTATCGATTATCGATTCTGAAAGAATATCGAATTAATATTTAAAAAAATAAAAGAAAAAAAGATTAGATATATATATTATAATCGTTCGATTTCCATTTTCGGAAATAACTCTCGCTAACGGTTCCTAGATTCGTCCTAAAAATTCATTATTTATCGTTCGTGTTATTAACTTCGTTATCGAAAATTTCCTTGTTATTATATTAATTAATTACTTTTGTTCATGCATTTAAAAGGATGCATCGAATTATAATATCGCAGGGTAGAAAGAGTTTCATATACGATTAATCTATATAATAACTTAAATCTAAGAAATATTTAACAATAATTTATACTAGCCTATGCATCGCGTAATGACATATAAATATTTATTTATTTACTTTTATCAGTAAAAATTGTATAATTGCATACATTCTCTTATAGCGCTCATATTCGATAACAAAATTTATTAAAAAAATTATCAACGTTAACAATTTGTTCAAACTAAAATGTCAAAAAATTGCACAAAAAAATGATAAGACATAAAAAAAACATAGCGATGCAAAGACCAGTAATAACATTTAATAAGTTATTTAAAACGAAAGAATGAAACTCGTTGTAGTTTTAAATGAATAACTAAAAGACGAATTATTTATTTACAGGGTTTAATCCGAAGTTTTTATGTGGGTGGAAAAATTCTTAGATGATTATAAAAAATCAATTTTTAAGAATTGTTAGACATATTTTTTTTATATTGTAAAAGTACAAGCTAAGCTTGTTTTTAATAGAAATTGATTTTTAAAATCATCTAGAAGAATTTTAGATTCACTTAAAAACTTTTTTGGTCCATCTACCCTATTTCTCTCCTCTCTCTCTTTTTACTTACTTTACTTTATTTCTTTCATTACCATTTATTTACGTCCACTTCTTCCCTTATTCAACTCCTATTCTTGAAATTCATCGTTCGATCGACGTAGCTGAATTCGTTGTAGAATTCATTCGATTTTGTAATCCTCTCGTTGAAATGCGATGACCAATGAGTTCTTGAAAAGTCATAAATTATTAGAAAAAGTATAAAATAAAACGTGATTAAAAATTAGGTAAAAAAAAATATTATTTATGCTCCTCTATGCTTTCTCTCCTATTACTTGTTTTTGTTAGATTATTTAACCGAAAAAAAAAAAAAAACAAAATTCTAATTAAATGCGTAATCAGCTCGATCGACGAACGATTAACTTAAGTAATTATTAATGTTAAATGATTAAAATTCAGGCCTATGCATTGTACTGCATGACGAATAATAAACGAAACTATTAGAATATAAGAATAGCCAATATAGAGGAGCAATAATTATTGTAAATAAATATGTCAAGTTTTATCCGTTGAATATCTCGTTGATGGATAATTAGAAAAAGAAAAAAAAAAAAAAGAAAAAAAGACAAAAAACTATATAGTCTAGAATAATCTATGTCGCGGTATAACTATATATGTATAAAATAATAATTAATATAATATATCAATGGGGGCCAGTAATTCTCTTTTTCTCTTTCTCTTTTTCACTCTCACATTAATTCTTTCTTGCTCTCTCTCTCTCTCTCTCTCTATCTCTCTCTCTCTCTCTCTCTATCTCTCTATCTCTAATCTGCGCTCTTACAATTAGATCTCGGACACACATACATATATACGAACTATAACGAGCTCTGTCGAGTAACTAAAATTCCAAATTTTCCTTCTACATTCTTTTTCTAACTTTCACGGAGTGTGTGTGTTTTTTGTTTTTTACGATTTTTACCTGTAACTCGAGTTATGTATATCCAGGCGAACGACCTACGTTAAGGACAAACAATGTTCTTATATATCCGCATCAATTGTAACTTTCACGAGAGGACTGCTTTCTTACGATTCCTTACCTTAACACGTCTTAGACAAGTACTGTAACTCGAGTTATGTATATCCGGGCAAACGACCTACACGTTGAGGATATAACAAATTCTATGCACTCGTATCAATGAACTCGTTTATAATAAAATACAACAAATCTTGATTAAAAATTAAATAGAAAAGAGAGGGGAAAATTTGGAAGATAAAAAATGATGTTAACACGACTGCGAGCCACTAACTATTTTATTCTACGTATTGTTTATGTTGCATATAAACGTAGATATATACACACAACAATAATTAATTAATAATAATGATAATAATATTAATAATAATATTAATAATAATATTAATAATAATAATAGTAATAATAATATATTACGAGCTCTCACACATCGTGTATAAAGGATCGCATTAAAATAAACTTTATACTTTCTACCGTTCTAACGCTATTCTCGTTCGCCGACGTCTTCTATCACGTCGTCAGGGAAAATCCTCCCGTTAGTGCATTAAAATAAAAAAAAAATGTCTGTATATATACATATGTATGTGTCTATTATGCATATGTATTTATACAATAAAATATATATATATATATATATATATACATATATACGTATATATAAATAGAGACAAATATAGATTTATTGTAAATGTGGTTGTAATAATCTTATTACTGTTATATCGATATCGATGTCCTTGATTTGAATAATTTATTTATTGCAACGAAAGAAAGAGGATGAAAGAAAGGTAGAAAGAAAGAAAGAAAGAAAGATACGAAAGATTGTATAATTTACACTCACAAACACACATACACACACATATACACATTACTCTCTCTCGCTCTCTCTTAAAATAAGAGAAAGGAGATCATAGCGAAAAATACTAATGCATTACGCACGAAATTATATAAATATATACATACATACATCTATATATTTATATACATTATATCGTAACGCGTTTGCGGAGGAGGAGGCGGTTCTTTTTTTACGAAAAAAGTCCTAAAGATATTTCGACGATGTAAGATTAAAAAGCGCATATTAATTATTATAAACTGTTCTATGCGTTTTTCCTAGTTAACGGAAATATAATTCATCCTGGCAAAAAGCGAGTGACCGTAAAGGCATGATCTATGTGGTGGGATCGTGCCGCCGATCTACGGAACGCGCCAATCGATAATTATTATTATTATCGAAATGATGGTTACATATTTTAGATAATGTTATTATCATTATCATTATTATGATTTTTATTATTAATTGCTACTATTACTATTATTATTGTATTTGGCAGGGTTACAACATTAAGAATTAAAAAAAAAAAAAAAAAAAAAAAAAAAAAAAATCTCCAAAGTGTCTCCTACATTTTTTACCCTTATTTCCCTTACCTAAAATAAATAAATAAATAAATCTACAAAAACAATATGGTGTAAATTATTATTAAAATCTCTCTCTCTCTCTCTCTCTCTTTTTCTCTTTAAATAATTGTACCTGTAGAAATGCTAATAGAGAAAGAAAGAAAATAAAACATAAAGTCGATGCTCGTCGATACTCGTGGCAAACGAAATTAATTTGTCCTTCGTGAATAGCTCATTAAAAGTGAGCAAAGAGCAAGTTACGTTACGGTGGCACGAGTTTGTCTCAAGTGGCGGCTGTCGTCGGTCAATCTGCCGTATAAATGCATCCGCGTGTCCTCGTTAACGTCTCCTCCGCGTTTTACGAATCGGACGGGCGACCGGAGGAGGCATTTTGCGGTGTGCGTGTGTTGGTCGGTAAATAAATGTGAAACAACGAACGGTGTTGGTACTTGGGATAGACGACGGTTCATGGCGATTCTGCGCGGTCACAATACGATCATTAGGCTATTTTCCAGAGTATACCACCGGCTAGTCGCAATATCTTTCTCTCTCATTCTTCCTCTATCTTAGCTTAGCTTTACCTACCTCTTTTCTTTCCTCTCTTAACACAGCCAACGTATTTGTCCCGTCTGGCAAAGGGGCTTTCTGCGCGCTGGTATTCACACAACTTGTAAGCTATTCTCCATAGTCGGTAAGTACAAATCCTTTCTGTATAGCTGCATGAGAATATTTGTAGTTACGAACAGCGACTATAAGCTAGCTAGCTAGCTAGCTAGCTAGGTACTAACTTAAACGGTACTATAATGAAATTCTCATCCCTCTTTCTTTCTCTCTCAGTCTTTCTCTTTCTTCACTCTATTTCTATTATATTTCTTATTTCTAAGTCAAGCTCCATTTGATATACGAATTTATATGAAAAATAGATAGATATTTTTATTCTAGTCAATCCATTAAAAATCTTATAAGGAATGTACGATTATATATTATCCGTAGGTACTAGTTCAAGTTATAAGTATGGAGTAAGCATAGCCGTAAAGAGAGTCCTGTCGTATTCCAAGAGCAAAGTGCGATGTCTGACGGTGATCTTGTTACCGCAAAAGTGTGCGCAATAAACAGGAGACTCCGTCGTTCGCGGGTGCCATCCTGAGCTTCGTAAACTCATGCCAAGTTCTTGGACAATGTTAGCAAAAAGGGTACACAACAAAGCCGCTTATGGTAGGTAGTACAAGAAACTCGTACTTACTACCATGCCATTCGTATCGCGTCCACGTGTCTTCCGCGTCACCGTACGATCGATGGTACCCATTTCTATCAGAAAATGGAGTACTTACTATAAATCCTCCGTACCGAAGGTAAGCAAAAAATTATTCGTTTATAGAATCCCTCCTCTCTGATTCTCGACAGTGAAAACTATATTTACGTTAAAGTATGTGACGTTACTACGTCTGGGGTGTATCTCGGACCAGCTGTTAAATCCCTATTTAACCACCCTAACGATAACAAACGTCAGATTTATCCAATAATTTTTATTATCGAATTCTTAAACGCGCGATTCATGCATGCACAATCAAAAAATAAAAGAAGAATCTATCTTTACGTCTGTTAGAAGTAGAAACGTTAAACGTAATCAAGCTAAAAATAGGAGAAACGTAAGGCGAATGAATTAACACGATCTAAGATCACGTATATCGATATGTCTATCAATATCTAATAATTACATATCTCGTATCGTTGCATACCCTATCATATTAAATATTTATTTAAAATCATCGCTTTTAATGATTCCATATAATCGAGGAGGATCTCTTTGAAAGAAGTAAAATAATAATAAAAAAAAAGAGAAAAAAATAAGAAAGAAAGAAAAAAGATAAGTCAACGATATTTCATAGATAAATATACGAGCGATTGAAAATAGTGAAAGGGAATTTAGCGGGAACACAATAATGACGCTCTGAAACGCTAACTTGGAATACATTAGCGGCGTAGTAGCGTGGTTTCGAAAGAAGCGATATCTGCATACGTTCGACGAAGGTATCGGGAGCGCGTAGAACTTGAGGCAAGAGTAAAGGCGCGGACAAGGCTGAGAAGGCTAAAGAAGAGGGAAGGGAGGGCGGTCTTAGCGAGCAAAGGAGGCGATCGTCGGAGGCTTCGTACAACCACTAGCAACAGCAGCAGCAGCAGCAGCAGCAACAGCAACAGCAGCAAAAGCAAAAGCAACAGCAACCGCACAGCAGCGCGTAGAGTAGATACTACCTACCTACCTACCTACCTCCGGACGTTTTTACTGCTACCCAGCTCCTAATGGGATCGAGTCTCCATAATTGAATTTACGAACGAGCCGTATACCCACACTGCGCGCTCCTACATTTTCTATGGTCCGTCCTAAGGGCACACCACGTGACATTCCCATCGCCTCCAATGAGCCACCAAGTTCTCCTCGTCATTTCCTTCATCCTTATTCTTTCCATGACTCTTTAAACTGCCTTTAGGGTGGAGCTAGAGGTGTAGCATGAAGTTTCTTTTTCTTTTATAAATCAAGAAGAAAAGTAATTGATCGTGGATAGGATGATTAGAAAAGAAGTATCCAATAGGAAAGAGAATAAATGATAGTTACGATTGAAACTGGCATCTAGATGTACTAAAAAGAAAAGAAAAGAAGAAAAAAAAACTTAGAGTAAGAAAAAGAGAGAGAGAAGAGATACAGGATAGGAAAACGCGAGAACGTCGATACTCTCTCAACGTTTTTATATCCTATCAGAGAGACCTCCCTACCTAATTAGATTAATCGAACGCATATAAACGCTACCGAATTTGGTCAACGATAATGAAAAATAGAAGGTCGATCTGTGGTACTTTATTACGAGAATTGTCAATGATAAATATGAAAGGAATGACAGTAATAAGACGAATAACCATAGCCCCGTGTGTTGGTTTGTTCGCCGAAAATGTAAGACCTCGCGGCTGCATAAATTCACCTCCTCCCCTCTTTACCACCCCTGGCGCTCTCGGTTTGTTACGATGAAATATTCGTTTGCGTACGGCGCTCCGCATATATTCGAGCGTAACGAATCGTTCGAAGCGTAAGCGAATATTATTAATCGCGGGTACTAGTTCGCACGGATATATATTTGTCATCATTAGCTGTTCAGGAGAGTGTACACACACACACACATATATATATATATATATTCTGGGTGTTTGCACATGTTATAATCCGAAGCTTACAAAGCGATGGATGTTTTAAAGGCGTCGGCGGGTTAGCTGGAGGCAATGCTGCTGCTGCTGCTGCTTCTTCGAGATAAATTTAAAGAAAAGAAAGAGAGAGAGAGAGAGAGAGAAAGAGAGAGATAAATAAAATACGAAGAAACTTTCGGTAACTTTCGAACTCTCGATCGCTGTTGTCATCATACCTTCTCCTCTTCCCAATCTATCCCCCTTCTTTATAAAGGTGATAGGCATTTACCAAGTTTCGTTATTCCAATACCGCGAAAGGATACTGGAAATGGCCGATGAAGAGAGGTCGTTTATTTCTTTCCTCTTTCGTTCCCTCCACAAGTCACATCTCTGGAGAGAAATCCAGCATGCGGGAACGTTTCGTTTGTGATGCATCAGATCGAAGATAGCGGACACGACCTAACCACGACGAGAGACTGCCAAGAACATTTCACCGGAAGCATTTATATTTACGATGATTTCTTTCACGTCGTAAAGAACCACGTGGTACTGAGAGAATTCTCTTTGATATTTCAACTCTATCCAGAATATAATTATACGCTCGATTAACGTTTAGATTCTTCTCATTCTACATATCTTGATTACATTCGATGCGTTCCGCGAGTTCTTGAAAAGAGAATAAATACGAAGAGATAAATACGCGAGTTCTTCAACTAATTCACTTTTTCTATACACCTTTGATTATTTCTATTAAATCGAAAATTTGGATTTAATGATACGCTAGTTTATAAAATCATCGTAACTTCCTTATTAACTATACTTATCGACAAAAAAAATAAACGAATATTTATTATTTCCTTAAGAAAGTATGTCTTTTTTTTAACATACTTATATTAGTAAAAAATAAAGAATTCTTTTTACGAGTTCATAATTATCCATACGCGATTATTTAAACAGATCTGTCTGGTTTTAGATAGACAAGAAAATAATCGTATAGTATTGAGAGTAATAGAATAATATCGTATTTCATAGTTCAACGTACGGACTCGTAAGTTTAACATTTTTCTGTTATAACAACGATTTATAAATTATACTCTCGCATATATCGTGTCGTATATGTAGGTATCGCATAAAGGTATACAACCCTTTCTCATAACTCGCCAACGAAAGCGAATCGTCTTTTTGCACGACCAGAAAGACGTCGTAGTTAGTCGTACTACGAATATGCTATGAGCCTATTTGATTGCGAACGTTATAAGATATCCGTAGGACGGTAGTAGTTATAAATACAGCTATGTATTACATGTATGTAACTACATATATGTTTATGTATTACATAGATGTATGTGTGGTAAGAGAAGGCTAGTAAATAGGTACGAGAGAGTGACGATATAATTTTAGCTAGGCGTTAGAAAGTGAATTACGAAAACGTCCACGGCTCATAAATGCGTACCACCGTTGCCCATTAACTTTGCTTGCTTTTCATTTGCAACGAACTTTAGAGAAGACAACTTTGCTGATTATTTAAAAAGAATCGCGAATGAACAATCGAAGGATATACTTTTTTTTTTTAACGCGATAGCATTCATAGAAAAACATCTCGCTGAATTACTTTCAAAACAAAAAAAAAGAAAGAAGGAAAGAAATAGAACTACAACGAAGGTAAGAAAGTTTATCAATTCTTGCACTGCGTCGATACTAATCAAAGGCATGGACCTGCTGAGCAATTACAAGAGTAATTACCTCGATATTATACAACGTTCGATCTCGGCTAGTATAGGCTTTCTAAAAGCGGTGAACGAAAGCACGTAGAGATAGGTATACAGGTAGACCTATAGGTATAGTAGACAGACATTTTTAAAATAAGTACCGGAGAGCCAAGCTAATAATTCACGCGGCCGGTAATTACTCTTCGATATAATACAGCTCTAATCGGCTAATGAGCCGCGAAACTATCCTCGATGTGAGCTCGATCGAAAATCCGATCTTCCTTCGTCTACCTTTTATCGAGACTCGTTTCCTTGCTTTTACTCTTCTACGCATTCACAAGGTATTCCGTGCCGATGTTGCACGAAAATTCAACTAATAAATAAATAAATAAATAAATAATCTTATAATTTTGCATCTCTTATCGAAGGCACGTCGACTCAAAGATATTTCCTGCATCTATGGGACATGTAAATGAAAAAAGAAGGAGGTTGAGGAGACGATTATGCGACTTTCGTATCACGAGGAAGAAGAGACGTAACGCATATCATATCTCGTGATCTTTACGACACCGATGATCGTTCGAGCGACGGCTGAGGGGCTAACAATGTCGAAACCTTTCCTTCAGCTCACGAGAATGGAACTAACGTGGAAAGCAAGAGTGCGAGATGACAACGACGACCACGACGACACGACGTCCTGGACGAGTGAGATTATCGGTCACGTCGAATCGCACGAGTCTCTTACAAACGTTAACGATTTTGCGATACAAGTCCTTTGATCATCATCATGATAATAATGATGATGATGATAATGCTTTGCCTTATAGTTATTGCAAATTTCTGTAAAAATGGAATAATTACGATTGATATCTTGTAAATGATTCTTACCGAAATAAATCTCTTGTCGTAAAGATAAATATCCAAGAAAAATGACGATAAACCAGATTTCAAGCAAATAAGTAATTTATTACATACTCATTAAATCCTTCTTACGTTCCTGTGGCTACTTTAACAACAAACAACCTTTTTCTATCTACCTTACGTCTCGAAATTGTCTACTTTTCAACTTTAGGAACGAACGAACCCGTGTCGCGTTTCCCACGGCACGCTACCACTCGTTAAATCGTATACGTACACGCATATGCAACAAGCGTGCACTCTTAAAAAACATCTTGCATTCTTTATTCGAAATATTAAGAAGTCGCGTTGTGATGGGGAAAATAAATATTATTTTTAAATCGAGATATATGATATTGAGCTCTTCCAAAGAAATTATTGCTTTCGGTAATTTGATCTAAATTCAGTCTTCTATAGTTTAAAGGTATTTCGTAAGGTGTTATTAATTAGCATGCTTCTTTGTGCACGTTGCACCGGAGAAAGTATAGATCATATTTTATTGGCCGTTTACGACCACCGACGATGCTATTTACTCGGCTAACTACAATCTAACTACTCGTCTAATTCAGTAATTATCTTTATTCGCGAACAATGCGAAATCCCCCTACGTGATATTAATTATTAACACCACGTTAATCGGCCTATTCAAAGAATATTAAATATTTCCTTTCGGTTTGACGACATTCGAATTGAAATCTTGAAAGTTAAAATACACAAGAACAGATAATTAACTTCTAATCTTACGTATTTGGAATCTCGTAAAATAATATATGACGTTTATCCAGAGTAATATGATACTCAAATTTTAATAATTATTTACCAGCGATCCGCAAGTAGACCAGGAAACTTTGTTAGAGCTCATACGAACGATATCACAGTAGTTTATCGTGGCAATAAACGTAATCGCAGTAGTTATTTACCTATTTGATGATTCCATCGAGTGAAAGTTTCATACGTTCTGCGATTCGTGGTGCAGTACTAAATCCTCTCCCCCCCCCCTTCTCTTCTCCTTCCCCGTTACTCACCGTTGGAAGAAGGTCTCGTTCAAACGAGGGCGTTTAACATCCACCATCATAAAATAATCGACTTCTTAATACATTTCTCGGTGTATAAGTAAAAAAAAAAAAAAAATAAAAATGTTTCTTAAAGATTCACGTTGGTTCTCTCTAACAAATTACAATAAAAAAAAAAAAAGAACAAAATTAGAAAAAAAATAAAAAGATAAACTATTTTATATATCTGGTTAACTGTCTTTCGTCGAGTAAAACATATATCTGTCTGATATGATGAGATGTGACGTTTTAAATGACGCTACGTTCTCGGTTACGGATGAGCTAACCCATTTTTAACGAGATATTTCCGCATAGTCGCGTTAGTACGGCCACGCACGCAAAGATATTTCGACACCGCCCCTGTCGACCATGTCGGCGCTAAATGAACCATCAGGGCCGCCATAAATCCTTGGATTATCAGATGAGCAGCCACGGAGTTGGCCGTCCCGGATATAACGAGGGACCACCGCCCAGTGTAATGGAAGCACTCGCTGTCGACGCTCGAAAGATACCTTCGAGATTGGACCAAACCACAAAGCAGCTCGTCTTCGTCCTCGAACTCGAACTGAAACTCGTCCTCGTCCTCGTCCTCGTCCTCGTCCTCGTCCTCCTCCTCCTCCTCTTCATCCTCCTCCTCGTCTCAGCGATTCGAATCCCAAACGCCACCTGACACACGATCTTCCTTCTCACTAAATTCTCTATTTTTACATTTAAATACTTAAAATTTTATTCAGAGATGCAAAAAAGAAAAATATTTCATTAATTTGACTAACTTTAAATACAAGTTTCTATTGTTCTATCCAAACTTTATATTTATGATCAGATATTCTCGAATAAATGCTTGCTGAGTCCAATGCAAGTTCAAGGTAACTTCCACAATTCTAATATAGTAATAGTAAGATTTCCAACGACACGATATGTCAGATCTTCGTCGAAATCTGACGAGGAACTCGTCTAAGTTGACCTGGATAAAGACGAGAAACATTGTTAATTACACGCTCTTGGTCACTATCGATGCCGGCTACCGTAGGGAGTAACTCAGCCTCAGGGTCCTTTGAGCTCGTTGTAAAGATGGCATCGTGCACACTAACGAGTAACAAGTGGCGTGACGTTTCAGTTAGGCTTTACTCTCTACTTCTTCTTCTTCTTCTTCTTCTTTTTCTTTTTTTTCTTCTTCTTCTTCTTCTTCTCTTTCCATCTTTCTTTCCTTTAGCGTGCTCACAGGGCTGCTAAAGAGATATCGGTATGCCACGAGGAACTACCTATCGCCTCACCTCTGCTGGACTAATTAACGCTGAGATTCATTATCGACACCTTGACCACTACTACATTGTGAACTCTGTCTTAATTTCAGGTTAAACATATTTAGTAACCTTTGAAATTAATTTCCTATCAAAAATTTCTATTAACCAACAAATCCATATTAATGAATTACATTTGATCATTATACAATGTTTTTCTATTTTTCATCCTGTCGATGTCTCATGAAAATTAAAATCTTGATCGCGTAGACCTCTCTTTATGTGAAATATAAAGAAAATGATTTAAATAAAATATTCACGATATTATATGAAAAGATTCAACGTATTTGTTAACGTTAAAAATATTCTTGTATTGATAAAAAGTGTCTACTATGTTAACTAGAAATTTGTTCGAGGCGCAAATAAGCAAATGATCAGTCGAAGTCGCCATTTGTAAGCCGCAGCACACGTACTTAGCATATATATGCATTTGCACGCAGCATTAAGTTAGTTACGCTTAAATGCAAATTGATGTGTTAATCGATCCGTTTAGAGCCAGCAACCGTGTCTATAACGTACCTGTCTAATCCATTTCGTTATCATCTTGAAATATCTAAATGTATATTTTCTCAGCCAATCGATTCCCACGTACTTCGGTATTAGGATTTGCGAAAATGTAGAAAGGGTTGCAGATCTTTAGGCGATTTATTATGCCCAACGAATAAAAATAAATAATAAAGATGTAAAAAAAAGTCGAATATCAAATTTCTGTAAAAAAAAATAAATGATATCTACGTTATTATTTGTTAGAAAAAAATTGATTATTTATTTACAATATAAATTTGTGCTGTTTGAAAAGAAATTTCCCCTTGCCAACAGCCTCCGTGGCGCAATCGGCTAGCGCGTTCGGCTGTTAACCGAAAGGTTGGTGGTTCGAGCCCACCCGGGGGCGATTTTTTTTACATTTAGTCTACAAAATTTTATATGAACTATTTTGAAGACAGAAAAATATCATCTATTGATTAGCCTGTGTGTGTGTGTGTGTGTGTGTGTGTGTGTGTGAACAAATTATAAGTTAAATTAATCAAGTATATGATAAAATTCGTTGAAAATATTCATTACAAAATCTTTTTATAAAATGTAAATATATTAAAAATAACTTATCTATTAAATCATGATGAAAATTACCTGTAATATTACCTGTATTAGAAAATAAGATTTATTTATTTTTTCTGTTTGTGTGTGTGACACTCTAAAAAAGTAAATTTTACAAAAGGTTATCTTGTGTTCTGAAACCAATCAATAAAAACCCGTAAACATGTATTACAGTAACATATTTCTACCTTATCGACCGTAGTTAAACAGCTTGTGTTCAGACTCTGGTAACAATTCATGAACGATGCTGCTGAAATCACAAATTCAAGGTGCAAGCACACTTGGGAAAAAATGAAAGTAAAGTTGGTATATACCAGCAGGGAATATATTTAAAGTTGATTTCCAAAGTAACAACCTAAAAGGTAGGCAAAAGAAATAAGTTAATCGTTCATAATGTATAAACAATAGGTAAATATTTTCATATTTTCATTTTTTTCTGCTGTTGCGATTTTATGCCAACTTTTTTATGGTGAAGTATATAGAAACTCAAAAGTTCCCTTTTTTATCTACCCAGTTTCATTTTAGATACTACCACGATCATCAGTGGGCAATAGTATGTACTTAACGCTATGACGGTACAATACCATCAAAGAATACAATAAAAAATAAAAACAATGTTACACAAAAAATAAAAAAAAAATGTTATTCTAGAACTGTAAAAATGCAATGATAGAATCGAATGAAATCTCATTTATAGATTGCATCTTAAATTTCAAACAATTTTCGACTACTCCTTCTGGTATCTGTAGATATATAAAAGTTATTAAAAAACATTATAATGTAATTAGTTTCTGTGTTTAAATGGATAAAAGGAACCAAGGAAATAAAAGGAGTAAAGGAACATGATATTAATTAGGGATTTAGAAGAAACTAATTACAATTATAATGTTTATGGTAAGCGGTCTTTGGCTGGATTTTACTTGCAATGGAATGTATAACATATAAAATATGTTAAACATTATACTGAAAGTAAAACACCATTGCCCAGGTCTAACCACGAGGAGGTAACCGCTTCTGAAGACCCGGGATGTGCATCCTGAAGATGTCCACATCCGAATAAATTGAAACCAAAGATAATGATCACCCTGAAAACGTTTTTTAATGAGCCCCACTCTTAGGCCCCACCCTAAGAGTTTCACCTAAAAAACATTACAATAATTTATGAATATTTCATAGATAATCATTTTCAATATACATAAAATAAAGTAAAATAATACAAAAAGTATGCAATTATAGATTGTTCATGGGACCTAAGAATAAAGAAAATGCATGAAAAATAATTATCACACGCATGCGATGCTACAGAGAGAAGAATAAACAGATCGAAATTATTCACATTTAATTATAGAAATAATTACACTATATACTATACTTTATTATAACAAAGTCTTCTTCCTATATGTAACCAGCAACAAAAAAACAAAGAGGTAAGAAAGAAGAGGAAAAGTGGACCTTTTAAAGTGAAACTTTTTACATCCGAATACAATTGAAATGAAAGAATATGATTTAACAAAGAACGGTTTTTAAGGAACCTTATTCTGAGGCCCCATCCTATAAGTTACATCCAAAAAAT